ATAAAATATGTCAGTGCCATTGTCGTGTCTCAAGATGCACACCAGTAAAGTTCTTAAGGCATTTTTATAAAAGTTATTTAAATATCTTAATTTAACCAAGGCCTAGTCCTGGCTTAAGCTAAGCCCTGTCTGTGAAACCCTGTCTCTATGTTCAAACATGGAAGTTATACAAGAACGAAACAATGTCGTTGTTCACATCAGGCATGTACATACATTTAAATTACTTCATGCACTAAAATGTTTATGCCACCTCACAGCAAAACTCCAGAGCAGCTGTATGTCATGTGGGTTAACTGAGACCTGTTCTGAGGAGGATCACTTTATTGACTGGCACACTGCACAATTAAATGTAAACCCTTCAGTCAGATGCCCTTATAAAGACTGTAACTTTAATGTTTGCTCTTCACAGAAAAGTTGTCAAGACAAACCTGACATCACCCAGATGGTATTTCAAAGACCAGCTCTTTTTACAGTAAACCAGGTACGTACACTCTAAAAAAGCGCTGGGTTAAAAAGGGACAAACCCAGCTATTGGGTTGTTTTGACCCAGCGGTTGGGATGTTAGCTCTGGGTTATATTTAACCCAGCATTTTTTAGAGTGTATAAGTGCATTCATCTCATGTTGTATTTGCCATAATTACAAGATTCCAACTTGGAAAAAGGATTCATGTCCTTGTAGAACTTATAATTACCATCTGTAATCTGGGAATTTTCTGAGAGCTTCTACTTGTACCACATGACCACTGTACCTGACTGCTGCAGATTAATTTAGGCATCGATAGTGTTGCCATAGAAACACACAGTTCCCGGTCCAAGGACATGAACAGCTCTAAGTAGAACATGGTGTGAACGCAGCATATGATCTTCAGTATTTGACAACAGCATTATCTAACTGACTTGATGTCTTTATCGATCTGTTTCTTCCTCTGTTAGGATGCAGCTGACAAGACTCCAGTAAGAATCCTCAGCATTAATCAAGCAAGTCTCTGGCCTGATTGTACAAGACTTTGTCCCCCCTTTTGTAGGCGTCCTCTTTGGCCTGACGAAGATGACGAAGTTTTGCTGTAAACCATGGCTTATCATTATTGAATGTTAAATGAGTCCTGGTAGGGATGCACATTCTTCACAGAAACTGATAAATGAAGTTACAGATTCCGTGAGCTCGTTCAGATCGTTGGTGGCTGCTTCAAAAACACTCCAATCAGTGCAGATGAAACAGGCTTGCAATGCCTGCTCTGTTTCGTTGGTCCATCTCTTTACAGACTTTACTACAGGTTTAGCAGATTTAAGTTTATGCCTGTAAATCAGTATAAGATGAACCAGGCAGTGGTCAGAGAGTCCTACAGCTGCTCTGGGGACCGAGCGATATGCATCCTTTATTGTGGAGTAACAATGGTCCAGTATACTACTGTCTCTGGTGGGACATGTAATATGCTGTCTGTATTTTGGCAGTTCACGGGAAAGATTTGCTTTATTAAAGTCCCCGAGAATGATTAAAACAGAGTCCGGGTGTTGTTGTTCTGTGTCTGTGATCAGATCAGCGAGTTTCTGTAAAGCTGAGCTCACGTGTGCTTGCGGAGGGATGTAAATACTCACGAGAATGAACGAGTGAAACTCCCGCGGCGAATAGAACGGCTTACAGTTAATGAAAAGCGCTTCTAGATCGGAACAGCACATCTTCTTTAACGCTGTAACATCTGTACACCACCTTTCGTTGATGTAAAAGCATGTCCCGCCGCCGCGTGATTTCCCCGTTGATTCTGCATCGCGGTCTGCTCTGAACAGCTGAAAGCCCGGCAGTTGTAGCGCGCTGTCCGGAATGGCGTCATTCAGCCAGGTTTCCGTGAAACACAGAGCAGCAGAGCGTGAAAAATCCTTATTTGTCCGGGAGAGCAGAAGAAGTTTGTCCATTTTGTTGGGTAGAGAGCGGACATTCGCCATATGGATGCTCGGCAATGGCCTTCTGAATCCGCGCTTCCTGAGCTTTACGAGCACGCCGGCTCTCTTCCCCCGTCTGCGCATCCTGAAGCGCTTGATCAGCGCAGCAGCTCCGCCGACTACAACGTTCAGCAAAACGTCCGAATAAACGAAATCCGGTAAAAGATTGTGTGCTGTGTTCTGCCGAATGTTCAGCAGCTCATCCCTGGTAAAACTGATCGTGTTTGAGAAACAAAAAACAGGAAAAACGAACAAAAACAGTATAAACACTGGAGAGCCAAACAATGAGGCTGCCGTCTGCAGTGCCATCGCATCATTAGAGAACATCATATTGAGACAAAACAAGGGCACTGACATATTTCAAGATCAATTACTGCAAGTTTCTTTCAGTTGAAACAGCTCAGACTTACATTTTAGTCTGGGGTTAGGCTTAAGCCTTGTTTGTGAAACCGGGGGAAAATGTTTGAGAAAAAAGAAATAAAATTTCATTGCTAAAAGATGAAATTCTGGCAAGAGGTTTGACTTGTAGAAACATCATGAATAAATAAAATAAATATTTAAATGCAATTTTTCTGTGTTTTTTGTAAAGGAAGAAGATTTCATTGTGGAAATTGCCCTCTTTATACAACACAAAGACAACAATTAAATGACACCAAAGGAAAGTTGAGCTGAGCAATTGACATCGGCTGTCTACAACGCAGACTGTCTGAACTGAAATGATGAGACAATGTGTCATTAAGTCAAGGCTTAAACACAGTGTTAAAGATATCAGATTTTGCCTCAACTGTGGTGAATGCAGCATGCAAACACACATTGCTTTAAATAAGCAACATATGAATATAGCGAAAACCAGACAAGTCTGAGACAGAATGGTGTCTTTCCAGCTGTAACCTAAACCTACCTGTTTAGGTTTAGAAATCACATCTTTAATGGATGAGGAAGGCAGACAGAGGCAACACCTGCCACTGCGCTTGAGCAACCACAGCATCTGCTCTCAAAGCCCTGTACAAACTCACACTCCATCCACAACACATTTCCTATACTCAGCTGAGATCGGAGAAGTTCCCATAAGTAAAGAATGAAAGAATCGCAGAATCAAACCACTACCAGCCTCCTGATGTCTCATATCAAACTCAGCTTATTTCACCTCACACTGTGACTATGGCAACAGCATGTGTGGTTTCGTAAAGCGGTCCTGAGCTCAGGCTGTTGTCCTGGTGGGAAAATAAAGGTTTCTGTTTTTTTGTTAAAGGACACAGTTATGTGCAGCCCCATACATAGCAAGATTACCTGCACAGCTGCAGTCGCAATAGGTGATAGATGATACCAAAAAGCCAATAAACATTTATGTGGTTGTCCTCATAGAACTCAAACCTTCAAATACTTCCGGAGCGCTTTGGCCCAGTCATGTTTCCAGAGTTTAGCTTAAAGTTATATATGGTATATCTAGCAGTGTTTTTCACACTCACAGCCACTACCCTGAGAGCTGGACTGCACAGTGGGAAGCAGAGAAGCTGTAGAAAGTGCACAAAGAGTTGAAGAAATGAAAAGTGCACCATAATGGCACCATAATCCAATATTGATGGAAAAGGAAATTACAGCCTCTAATGCATCCTTTAGGTTTGTCCAGACTGGGACATACCTAGCACCGAAATAGAAGTCAGAATGTATGATATGGAACTTCCCTTTAGGTTATTTTTATGAGAAAGGGCAGTGAACTCATCCCCTTGCAACTGAGGCAGAACTCTGAAATTTGCAGCTATATGAGCAGACCGCCTAAATCTAAAATGTATTTAATTCAATTCAATTCAAGTTAATTTATATAGCGCTTTTTACTATACAAATCGTCGCAAAGCAACTTTACAGAAAATTAAGTTTCTACAATATTTAGTAGTAGTGGTGACTGTCAGTTTATGTACATATGGCAGAAATGTACGGAAAAATCAATTAAAGACGTAATCAAACAGACGATGAACACTATTAACAGCAATTATTATATGATGCAATCAAACTTATAGCAAAATCTGGTAGTTCTGTATGTTGTTTCAGGGTTGACATCATCTGAGGTCCTCTGAGGGATTTTTTTATAAATGTAATCTTTATTTATTTTGAATTATTACCATATTTCATGAAAAGGGACAGGGGCTTGCAGTAATGTCCATACACCTGTACAATAAACTGGCCAAATGCACCATAAAAAGGATGCATGAGATGGATGAAGGAAATATGTTTTAAACATATTTTTCATGCATTTAGATTAGCCTACTCTGAATCACCAAAGATATGTGGATAAATAATATTTTAAGTATAAATAAAGTATAAAAATTGGGCTGTTTAGCCCACAGTTATGGGCTAAAATTATGTAAAAATCAAAAATCTAATTAGCTGATTTACATTAGCATTATAACAATGTTACAAACAGATTTAAATAACAATTAAACGCAAATGCATCAAAGTCCTTAGATAAGTAATTTAAGACATTATTCAGGTAGATGCGTAAAGATATATCACAAAAAGTGGCAATATATTGTTTGATTTATTTCCATATTGTTGAACTTAAGGCTATGTCTTTTTTCTGTTTTTTTTTTATTATTTTTGTTTCTCGATATGCACCTATGCACTATGTGATGCTGATCAGCCGATGTAAAACATCTAAACTTTAAAAATACAATTGTACTAATTAACATTAGGTTGCACACTAGGTTAAAGCTTTATTTCTCATGATATGGTGGCACTGATTATAAGGCAATGTTAACCCCCGTCATTCATAATTTGAGATGTTATTGAAGACATTTGCAGCCTGTGAGATCCATTTTCAATTTGTAGCTGTTATAACTACATGAATTCCTGCCATCTACGCCCGGGATCAAATAGTTTCCTAAACGCATAAGAAATTATAGCGCTTTTTTTTTGTCTCGACTTGCAGTAACGGTGTTACTTACAATCATGCATTGACATGTTTCCGGATTGCACGGCATGCCGGGCTAATAAAACTGTGAAAAACATAAGAAGAAGAAAAAATGACACCGATATTTACAACAGTTATCGCGTTTTTAACTTACCTTTTAAAGAGAAGTTACTAGTGGTACAAAGCCCCAAAAGTGATTACTGATAAACTGTCTGAAAAAAAGAAAGTCACATTTTAGAGAAGAAAAAAATCACCCACTGACTTTCAAAGCTGCTACATAGTAACGACTTTCTACTTCGAGGATCTTGATAGAAATGTAGTGGAGTGAAAAGTACAATATTTATCTTTCAAATGTAGTGAAGTTAAAGTCATGAGTTCCCAGAAAAAATAATACTCAAGTAAAGTACAGATACTCAAAAAGTGTACTTAAGTACAATACTCAAGTAAATGTATTTAGTTACTGTCCGCCTCTGGGTATAGGCTACATCTGGAACAGAAGATTTATGTTCAGATTTGTGCATTATTTACTGTGTAGCCTATATATAGCTGTATAAGTAAGTACAAATGTGTATATGTATTTACATAATACTTGAGAGAAAAATGCAAAAATGAGTTATTACGAAATTAATTACAGAAGACAGGTGGTATTTCTGTGTTAGCAGCTGTTTTTATGCCTAGATGTTCTAGTGCACAGAGATCTGTAACGTCTGCCTGAGGGAAGAAGTGCAAACAGGTTGTGGCTGGGGTGAGAGGGTAGATGGGGTAGACTTTTGCAAGCGAACACAAAAGCATTTAAGTCTAATTGTTCCTCCAATCTCATGTTTTTTCCATCCCCATGTCCCCTTATGATGCTCCACAGGTTGGAGAGTGGATACACTTTCAATTTGTTTATACTTAAATTTCAAACTGTTCATTCAAAGTGATCATTGGCTTTCATAATATGGACTAAAACAGCTGAAACATTTTTCAAAATATCGTCTATTGTGTGGCAAGGGTGCCGAACTCAGTTGGAGGAGGGCCACAGTCCTGCAGAGTTTAGTTCCAGCAATGCTCCAACACACTTGTTACCTGCCTGTTTCTTTACTCTGGAGTTGTACAAGTCCTGAAGGTTGGGCAAGTGCACACCAATTATCCTTTCAGCTGTCCTGACAGTCCGTAGCAGTCCGAACTCATAGCTCTAAATAAATGTAACTAAATGTTTTAAGGACCAAGATTTGCTGCTGTTTGGTTACTTTAATGAATATAAATGGTTCTTTTTAACTGAATGCCAACATTTCTTAATTTATTAATATATCTTTGCTTAACTGCTTTCCCTGGTCAGCAGCTTGGCATCTTAAATAGGCTATTTGGTGATGGATGTTGGTCACTGTGAAGGTTTTAATATACGCCATCATTCTGTGGATTTTCCTAGACTTTTGGTGCCTTTTGACACAATTTCTGATGGACCATAAATGGGCAAAAAGACCCTCTAATGCAGTGATTCCCTACCACCGGTACCCTGGATGGTTCTACTAACTGGATGCTTAAAGTGGTTAATTCAAAAATGAAGATTCTGCCACCATTTAATCACCCTCAAACTGTTACAAACCTTGAACACAAAAAAAAGATATTCTGAAGAACAGGGCCGTCCTTAGAGTGGTACAACTGCTTGACCTGTTGCGAAAGGACTGAGGGGGACCTCAAAATCTTGTTTTTTAATTTTTTGTTTGTTTGTTTATTGTAGTTACATTTTGAGAAAAGAATGCAAAACATATGTAGTTTTGTGTTAGTCATGTCTCTGGCCGCTGTATATGGATTTAGACAGATTTCAGAAACTCTCCAAATATTTGCGCTCAGAATTGTCAAAACCTGTTCTAACATTCTCAGTTGTCTCATTAAAAGCAGAGGTGAGAGAAAATGTAATGAGTCTGTTGTGGTTTTTCAACCACAGCATTGATTGTTTTTGTTTTTAAATATGAATCATTATAATAATTTGGGGTTTGGGGTCGATGAAGAGGCACTTACTTACTCAGTGCTCTTGTTGTGCGGCATCTTAGACAAAAATGTGGGAAAACTGTGCGATTACACATTATTAACACATAAAATGTATGATGTTACATTTTCATTTATGATGTTTCTGTAATGGTTTAGTAACCTCAACTGGACAGCAGTTGACACAGCAAACATGTTATTTAGAATTGCATATCCTCTTTGTTATACACGCCAACTTCTACTTATGTCACTATGACAACAGCAATAAGTCACCAAGAAGAAATGTCCGAACCTTCAGAGACTAAATTATCAGATAATTAACCTAAATAACTGTAGAGCATTTAAGAGTATTCAAGAGCATCCAGGCCTTTAGTTTAATGTCAAACCCAATCAGCAGCAATTAATAAAAGCCAAATAATACATGAGTAGCGCTTTGTGTCTTTCATCAGTTTGATGTTGCCTGCAATGGATGCTAAAGTAAAAACAGCAGAGGAATGTTGAGGGTATTGTTAGTCATAGTCGGACATGCTGTGTATTATGGGGGTGTGTTCACCAAGCCGTGCATATTTTTAGCACATTCCTGGGGTATTACACACACCCTCATCATTGAGAGTGTTTATGTGTGTTAGAGGACAGAGTATTCATTCATGTGAAGTGGTTTTGTGCGTGACTGCACTAAAACGCGTGGGCTTCCACCAGATACTAGATGCAAACAATAATCTTACAGCAATCGCCTTACAGTTTGCATCCTCCATCACCCAACAATGTTCCAAACCACACCGTTTGATGAAGCTCTTATACTGGAGAAATGTAGTTTGTGGAGTGTTCATCTAAGCAACAATACACCATCTTTATTTTTGAAAATATTTATATTTAGCACATTTAATGACACTACATTTTGTAGTTACCTGTATATCAATACAAATTCTCTAAAGCGGTGGTTCTCAAGGGAGCTGGGGCCCACTGCTGTACAGGACTTTGTTTCAGTTGACAGAAGATATAAAAAAGGCAATGCTTCCACCTAGTGGTCAGTTTCCTAGAAACAGAACATTTCTTCACTGTCACCTTGGAAACGACTGCACATTTTGTGTGTCTCCCTAATCAAAAACACCTGATTCAACTCATTAGCTCATTAAAAAAAACTCCAGGACCTGAAATGGGTGTGTCAGATAAGGGAGACATACAAAATGTGCAGTGTTGGGGGACGCCCAGGACCAGGGTTGAGAAACACTGCTCTAGAAGGTCAAACAAAATAGATGAGCTCTTTGTATTTTTACTTCTTTTTTATGAAGCAATTTTGCCACACTTTCATCAAAATGCGGGGACATATCTAAATCAGTTTAAAAACCTGATTTGTGTAATTGTCTATTTTTTTTTAGCTATAAACATTAAACTATAAAGTAAGTATAAATAATTTATTTAAAATTATGGGAAAATTAAAGGGGAAAAAATATGTTTAACAAGGTTAATCTCATGTTACACCTAAAACATGGGATTTGTGCCATATACTATTTTAATAGTGTCATGGATCACCAAGTGATTTGTGTAATGCGCCAAATTACTGTCATACAGCTGCCATTAAAATTACTCAACCCCCTTTACGTTAGAGTTTAGGGTTCTTTATTCCCGTCTTTTTTTTAAATCTGTAACTGTCAAACAATCATTTAAAAGGCACTTCATTATTGATTTTTTGCAGCTCAACCATCCAATTACAGTATCAACAGGTCTCTGACATCCTTCTTAAAATGTCTATAAATTTAACTTTCAAATTGTAATTGGTTTTCTACCAATCGTGTCTTTCTTCTCTTTTCATTTTTTTAAGAACATGTGTGACCAGCTCTGGCCAGCCTAGCTGAGGATTCTTCTCTACTCTTCTCCACTGAGCAAACAAGTGACATATTGAAGTTATAAATTTATATTGAGATAATGCCAATTTCTGTTATGAAACTCTTATCAAACTGATGATTTTCACTGCGTTAAACTACTTGGCACAAACTGATTGGTTCATGTTGTATATGCAGCCAATGAGCTTGCTGCTTTACATTTAAATGGGTGGTTAGCATTCACTAGAGCATTTTGCAGTGCACTTTCAGAGTTCCTCTATAATCCTCCACCTTCCCCAGCTCCACCTGTATAGATCTGCTGTGGGTTATTATTTATGCTATTTGTGCAGCAGCAGCAGTATGTCTTAAATACTCATAGCACCCTATCAGCGTATGTATTGGCAGTAGCAAGTTCCTGTACTAGCTTTGCAGCAGCAGCAATAACCAACAGCAGCAGCAGTGTAGCTCATTACCATACTAAAATTTTTCATGATAGTTGTCATGATAGAACTGAATTTATGATCCATAGTTTTTATCAAGTTTTCAATTATTACTTGGGTTTATGCATAAACGTTCCTAGAGACTGGAAGGCATTATAAGACCAGGTAGATACATGGGTAAAAAGCATAATATTAATAAATAATATAAAAAACACTAAATAAAAAAAAACACTAATATGAATTCAAATAAATAATTATTAAAAAGGTTCTTTATAACTCCATTAAGGTTCTTCATATAAAACTTTCAAAGCATATTCTTTATGGAACCTTATAAAAAGGTTCTATTGTTAGGATGACGAACCTTTATCTGGTGGCTACTGTTTAGAACAGTTTTCTGTGTAGTCATTTAGTATGACAATAAACTATAAACAGTATATGTGAATGCAACAGTTCAAAGTCAACTGCAGTTATATGCACATAACAACTTTTATTTTTCAGCTTTTATGAAAAATTACTTAGTAACAAGTGATGTGGAAAAACATTCTAGGTAGACTGCCCTGAGAAGGTCACTTAAAATTGCAATCTCTATCTATAAACGGCCAACAATGGCTGAAATGCTCGTCATTCTTCACCTTTCTGAATACTGAGGTGTCGCAGACTCTAGAATGAAAGGATTTGTGTATCCAAACGCTCAAGGACAATCAGTGGGCCAACACATGTACTGCTGTGAGACATGCTTTTCACTTGTTTGAAAGAGGTTCAGATGAAGAAATGAAAAGAATACTGCTCTCAGTGTAGTGATTTTGTGCAAGAAGTTTATACAACTACCTTCTTTAGTCAATAAAAAATGCAGCATGTCAATGAACTTGACATGACAAACCTCAGGCTTGTACACCCCAAAGCCCGCCACTTGCGTGAACAGATCTTCATGATGGCCATCGCAAAACATATAAGCCTA